GGAAAGAGTTTGAAGAGAGACAAATGGTGTCGTAGTCAATTCAAACGTATAGGCTTGGTTGATTTGAATCCTTTTATGCATGCATGGGTAAATAAAAAACACTAACCTTATAGCACATTCAGATCTTTTGAAACAAATACATTTTCACCAACCAGAAAAGCAAATAATAATAATAATAATAATAATAATAATAATAATAATAATAATAAAAAAACTGTATAGCACATTCCAATTGAGCAACCATAAGAGTTCACATCAAAAGTATCAAAAAGGGAATGGTGCTTAGCGTGGACTTGCTTTCACCATAGCTTCCATGAAAGTATCAATTTATCACTAACAAGAAAAAGAAAACACAAATAATCACATGGACTTGATCCCAAAACAAGTATTTCCAGAACATTTAAGTGCATCCTATATAAGGTACCCATTATATAATTCCCGGTGTCATTATTCTTCTTTTGAGTTTACGAATCTCATTCTTAATCTATTCACAAATTATCAAAAAAAACTTGTTATTAACCTATTGACTAATTTTAACCGTCAACAAGTCTGTAGGCAAATCATTAGCTAGTGACCACTTGTTGATTGACTTTCAAATTAAAAGCCTGCCAATAAGATCACAAAAAAAAAAAAAAAAAAAAAAAAAAAAAAAAAAAAAAAAAACTTTAGATGATTAAGAATGTTATGCAATAGGGAGATTTAAGTTAAGGGGTATTGGACTAGAATTTAATTTCTTGATTCGATTCCATTTTGTAAATGGTTAATTCCTCATATAAGATTCTTACTGTAAGTTTTGGCCTACGAGGTCATGGACTCGTTAGGTTGGAACTTATATTTTTCTTTTAAGTAATTTATGATCGATAACAACGAAGAAAAAGTTTCGGGTAATTAATTTTCAGGCTGTCATGCTCGCATGGCATATCCAATACCTTTTAATCATGCCATATTCATCGAAACTTTTTAGTTGTCATATATTCTCATCATATGACAATGTCCAACAACTTTTGGTCATACGTACGTACCTGAGCTTATCAAAACTTAACTGCCGAATTAGTGTTTATTATATATTAAAAAAAATATTTAAGATTTTTTTGTCCCTCAAGAAACAGAAAATAAATTTGCTATTGTACCTTCTTTATGACACTAATTTATTTCATAAAACAGTTAATAATTAAAAAAAATAAAAAAAACGCCCCTCAAAATCTTGGCTAAAATTTAAAAATTGTGATTTACTGATGAGCTATGAGCGACAGAAAAAGACGGCCATCCGATACTGCATGTGAATTGCGGGCAGGAAAAAAATTTCACCAACAATTTACAAACCATGTGCTAGAATTAGAGCGGATACATGTTGTGAGCTAGTTAGGTGACGACGTGGATATTTAGGAGTTGTTTGGTTGGAGAATTCGTACTCCGATTCGAATCATGGTTTGTGATTCGTTATAATATTTTTTCTCATAAAAAATACACGTAAATTGAAAATGGTTCTAATCTCATTATTCTAATCTATGAACTAAACGTCTCCTAATTTTTATATATTTAATACTATAATAAATTATAAATTATAATTTAAATTATATCACGAATCTTTCTACTAAACACGAGGTGATGTTTGGTAGAAGGATTCGTTCTCTGATTCAAATCATGATTCGTGATTCGTTATAATATTTTCTCTTAAAAAAATATACGTAAATAAAAAATAATTTAAATCACGTAATTTGAATCCTCCAACTAAACATCTCAATTTTAATAGACACCTGTGACGCTAGCCTTATCATATCTCCTTTTTACTTCTCAGACAACTACCTAACGTGTCAACGTTGGACAAAACAAGTCCTCCTTTCGGCGCTGGTGCCTCCACAGTTTGCCACGTATCTACCTCCTTGCACTTACAGGAAGACAGACAGCAAAGAAAAGTTAAAAAGAAAAGAAAAGGCAAAAAAGAATTTCGGTGTGAAATTTAAAATTGCCACTTGAAAACGTAGTTTAAGGTGGGCCACGATGTCTCTGGTTAGTTCTTTAATTTCTTGGTTTGCCACGCTGGCAATCTCCAATTGGACCACACGTATAGTTCTGGCTCGTCGGGCCTGGGCTAGGCGAAGCGGTCGACACATGTCCCTCGTGTCGTGTTGTAAATATAAACCCAGCGAAGGAGAGACGAGAAATTGATGGGGAGAGAGGAAGTCATCGGATGACGCTTAACGGGAATGGATCGTCATTTTGGACACGTGGCGTTAGAGAAGCGAATAGTGGTCGGTGGTGGTCAGTTCGGGCAGCTCGGTTAATTGCCCGTTGGAGTTTTGGCTTTTAACGTTGAGACTAATCTCACGAGAAAATGGAGGAGACAAAATTAAACTAACAACCGGAATTTCTGCATCGACGGAGATAATGACCGTCGGCGGCAATAAAAATCGTCCGGAAGATGAAGCAATCGGAGGATTTCAATGACGGAGTACTGCCGGAGAATGCTGAACGACGATGAGTACGATTCGCCGGAGAAGTGCCGAGAGCGTAGGCGCCGGAGAATTGAGATGAGGCGAGTGGCTGCGCTGTCGGCGGAGCAGGAAACGAAGCGGCTCCGCGCGGAGGAGGCGAGCACTTCATCATCCGCGCCCGATGAGGTGGCTGAACAGTTGGAAGCGGCAAGGGAGCCGGTTTTCGGTATAATGTCTGTGGCGGGGCGGTCGCGCTACATGGAGGACGCCGTGTCTGTATGGACTTCGCTATGTTTGCCTGAGATTTGCCGGCGCCGTCCGGTTCACTTCTTCGCCGTGTATGATGGTCATGGAGGCCCTCACGTATATACAATAATTATAGTCTCATTTTGAAAATTAATTTTAATAAATTATATATATATTTTTGAAATCATGACTTGTGATTTGTGAATGAATTTGTGAAAGCGCAGGTGGCGGAGCTTTGTAGGGAGAGGATGCACGTGATCGTGGAGGAGGAATTGGTGCGATTGAGTTGCACGCGCGGGGTGGATGCGAGCGGGGAAGTGAGCGGGGGTTCGAAGGAGGAAGATGAGGATGTGGTGGAAGAGGAAGAAGGGCTGTGGAGGAGGGCCATGGAGAGGAGCTTCCAGAGGATGGACGAGGCCGCGATGAACACGTGCGCGTGTGGGAGCGCGGGTTACCAGTGCGGCTGCCAGCCCATGGAGGTGGCGCTCGGTGGCTCCACCGCCGTGGTGGTGGTTCTCACGCCCGATCACATTGTGGTCGCCAACTGCGGTGACTCACGCGCCGTCCTCAGTCGCAGTGGCCGAGCTGTTCCTCTTTCCCACGATCACAAGGTTCGTTCGTTACTGTTAGTCTGGTACTGTTATATTCCTTGCTTATAACGATAAACCGGTAAATGGGCCTTGATTAGCTAGTCTGATTACTTTTGGGCCTGCATTTTGCAAGAATTGAGTAGTGGGCTTTCAATTGCTGAAGGTTTCTAGATTCTGATTCTTTTTCTTTTGTCGGAAGGATTCTATTCTTCAGATTATTCATGCCTGGTTTTTGATAACATCACTCTTATATCTGCTATTGAAAACTGAAAAGGGACCTTTACATGTCTGCATGGCCAACTTTGTAATAGTTACGTAGTTACATGCAACGCTATATCTAGAATTTGGGTAAGTTGGCATATATAAAACAATAATTTGCTATAGAGATTGGTCATGACTATCTTTTTTTATTTTTTTTATTTTTGTAAATCAAAAGATTTATAATGTTATTCATATGATCAACAATCAGCTAGGTTATGGCATAATAGAATAATTTGCTTTATATAGAGGTTGGTCATGATCCTATCTTCTTCTCTTTATTTGGTTTTTTTTTTATTTTTTTTTTATTTTTTTTTATTTCTCACGTTTATGAAGCTGAAGCCGAGTATCGATCTGTTTCGCAATAATTTTAACAAAAATGTTGTTTGATAAATATTCTTAACTTGGCTTGCAGCCAGATAGATCAGATGAACTTGAAAGGATTGAAGCTGCTGGAGGACGGGTTATTTTTTTGAACGGAGCTCGGGTCGAAGGCATTCTCGCAATGTCTAGAGCTATAGGTGAGTATGCGGATTTTATTCTTTTGAAAATGAGGATTAGGAATGTAATACCAGATAAATTGTTGAGTTGTGATTAGTACTGATAATTGGTTTATTTACATCAGAACGGGCATCAATGGAAAGGATTGTTTTCAGCATGAATGTATATGCTTCAGCACGACATTATAGAATACTTGTGTTGTCACGCAGATTCACAGAATAGATTTCACTGTTGGGCCTGTTGGGTGGGCTTACAAATCGGGAGGTGTATCCATGCATGTTGAACATTGTCTCGGTTTTTGATACTGCTGAATGATATTAACCTTTCTTACATTTTCCACTCAACAAGAGTATGACTTCTCTGGATCTGTTTAAATTCAATACTTAGTTCTGCCAGGGATTATTTTAAGCTGTGTATTGTATACTACTTGTCACTTGGGGGTCTATAAATCTCAGGAATATCCAATTCCTTCGGCAGTTCCTTTTTGACATGTTTGTCATGTTCCTTTGACTTCTTCAAGTGCCATCTTCTTATGCATATAAATTTCATGCCTAGAAATGTCAAGTTAATTAGACTAATATTATTACTTACAGAGACATAAATTTGTGTGTTTTTTTTTTTTTTTTTTTTTTTTAATTACTACATATCAAACTACTTGTGATGATGCATGTGAGTTTGTGTTTCGCTGATGATTATATTGTGTTTCTTTTACAGGGGACAAGTATCTAAAACCAATTGTTATATCCGATCCAGAGATAACGTTCAGTAAAAGAGAACCGGAGGATGAGTGCTTGATTATTGCGAGTGATGGCTTGTGGGATGTTCTGTCAAGTGAGTTAGCCTGCGACGTAGCAAGGGAGTGTCTTGGAGAAGGAAGTACTTCTGCCACTTCTGCTATAGATCCCAGTACTATTGGTGGGCCCCCTCAGGTGGAAGAGGAAAGATCTGGTGCATTGTATCCATCTCGCAGTACCCTGGCAGCTGCGCTGCTCACTCGCCTTGCTTTGGGAAGGAAGAGCTCTGATAATGTCAGCGTTATCGTTGTTGATTTGAAGCGGAGCTGACTAGCTATGTGGATATGATAGTGTAGCTCATGAAGGTAAAACTCAATGTTGATAGCTCTTCTGTAAAGTTCTGTACATGTCGCACGGCCAAAACAAGGCAAACACCCCAAAGGAAAGAAAAAGATGGACAAAGAATATTTCAAGAAAGCACATATCGGTAGGCATGTTGGATTGGAGTTTCTGCCTTTAGATGAAAAGCATCTTGTTTGACCTGGTTAACCTTGTATGCTAGGATTAGTTTAGAGCCTGTGGTGAATGGTGATCAGTTTGTCTGTCATTTTTTTTTTTTTTTTTTTACCATAAAGCGTGGGGGGTGATTTAGGCCTCAACATTGGAATTCAATAAAGATGTACCGTCGGACTTAATAATCCGAGATAACGTACTTTGAGTTTCTGGCTGGTTATAGCATTGCAAAATAGGATTTTTACTTACTAGTCCTCTGCGTTCTCCACATCAGTACCGTTAAATTGGATGCGGTTTGGACCGTTTGGTTCATTTGGGTATGAAAATAGTGGTAAAATTAGTGACTGCTTGGTGAAGCTAGGATAAAATTTCAGTGGCGGCATAAAGCATATATTTTTTAAATATAAAAAATACTACCATAGTATTTCTCAATAACTATAAAATATATTATAATTGTCATCGTCGAGTTTTCATATTTTGAAAGCGTTGCATAATAACTTCATTATAAATATGATCAACAGTTTCTTTTTCAATGTATACAACCAAACTGTCATTCATCCATTGATCTTCTATTCGATTGCGTAGTCGATTCTTCACAATATTCATAGCAGAAAATACCCTCTCAACAGTAGCAATAGCAACATGTAAAATCAGTGTTAAAGTTAACAACTGATAAACCAATAGATATATCAAATTTTTTCTTGTCTCGACCATTTTTTTGTGCAAGATCACTAATGCCTGTTAATTCTATGAACTCCTTACTTAAAAGCATATCAATGATATAAGTTTCAAGTTGATTATCAAGTGTCATGAGTTCTACCGTAGAAAAATCATCTTCATAATACTCAGCAAGTTGAATCAACCTTTTCTTATCAAAAGAAGAAAATAAATCAATGGGAGACAAACACACCATACAAAGAAGCAATTTAGTATTTATCTCATTGAAACGATCATTTAACTCTTGAAGTTGCATATCAATGATTGAATAAAATAGCTCCACAAGAAAATGATGCAAATTGGTAATTTCTTGAGCTTTACGTCTTGATCTACCTCGAGGTATAAAAATATCATCCATGTTGGAAATTCTAATGTTGTTTTTTTCACAAAATAAAGAGACTTGATAAAAAAGAGAATCCCATCCACTCTCCCTCATCATCTGGAATTGTTGTTTGCACACTTTTACCAAGCTCATAGCATTCAAAATATCCTTATCCTTTCTCTGTAATGCTACTGATAATTCATTTGTCACTCCTTATATGTTTCTCATCAAATGTAGACTAAATATGAAATCAAACGATTGCATGAATTCCAATATATGGTTTGCTTCACATCTTTATTCAGAATTTGATCCATCATCAACAATTATCTCAAGAACTTAAGTTATAGATGAGAACATGATAATCAAACTAATTAAAGTACCATAATGTCAACCCCAACGGGTGTCTCCAAAACGTTTGAGAGAAGTATGTTGATTTAGACCACGTCCGCTTGAAATCTCGCCATTTTAAAGTGCTTCAGCAATTGTTGTACCTTGTTTATCTTGAAGAATATCACAACGTTTAGCTGAGGATCCAACAACGTTCACCACGCTAGCAATTGAACTAAAGAGTGATGCAATTTGAATGTGCTTTTTTGCCATAGCTACAAGAGCTAATTGAAGTTGATGAGCAAAACAATGAATGTAAATTAATGCACGTGGGTTCTCTTTCAGAATAAGTGCTTTAAGACCGTTGAACTCACCTTGCATATTACTTGCTCCATCATAACCTTGTCCCCGTAGTCTTGATATGCTTAATCTGTATCTTGAAAATAATTTATCAATTGCAGACTTAAGTGAGAGAGCTGTGGTACTAGCAACATGTTCAATACCTATAAAACGTTCAATTATTTGCCCTTTTTTAATCCACATAACGCAACACAACAGCCATTTGCTCCTTTGTTGAGATGTCACGAGATTCATCAACAAGAATAGAAGATAGAGCATCTCTAATATCTTTAATAATAATATTGACAGTTTCAACTACAATAGTATTTACGATGTCTTTTTGAATATCAGGTGATGTTAATTTCATATTTTCAGGAGCATTCTTCAATGTAACACCTCTAACTTCATCATTGTGAGAAGCTAGAAATTACAAAAGCTCTAGAAAGTTACCTTGATTGCTTGAGTCGTCATATTCATCATGACCATGAAATGCGAGCCTTGTCGTAAAAGAAATCATACACAATCCATTGATGCATTCAAACGATTTCAATATTCTTTTTGAGCTTGTTTTTGATTGCTTGGAAATAATTGTTTCAATATGTTGCTTCTGGTTTATCAAGGCTTCACAATTCCTCCAAGCTTGGTTGTGTATGCTACTCGGGCCTCCAACATGAGTTTAAAATTTTTCTTTCTTTTTCCAATTTGAAAAGCTTTCACTAACGTCACTACCCGAAATAATTAGTTTGAAAAGATAACAACACAAACAAAATGCCGCATCTTGTGTTATGCTATATTCCAACCAATTAGGATATTCTTCAAACCAAACAGGGTTATATTTTCTTAATACTTGCCCACATTTACTTAAAGAAAAATCATGTCTTCGAGGCTGACAAGGACCCCTTTGCATATACGCTCTTCGAACTTGATCTCGAACATTAGAATTGTAATCCAAAATTAGAGTTCTTAACCCCGAATTTGTTGGAAGATCTATCAAATAATTGATTTCCACACTACATGATTTAATACTGTCATCATTTTTTCTTTCTGAAAATGGAGGCTCTAATTTTCTTTTGAAATATTTATTTCTCCATTACTATTTCAAAAGAATATTTAAGAAACTACAAGAAAGTAAAAAAATAAAGATAAGCACTCAAAATCTTTAATTAATCATAGGAAATAGAAACTAAATTAATTTATTATAAAAAAATAAAATTCTAGGTTATAATTTATAAAGTAAACAAACTATTACCACAAGTATGAATCTACAAAGCTTGTACTGTAAACATAGTAAAGGACAAAAGACACATATCTACAAAGCTTTTATGAGCTACAGACAAAATCTCAAATGTCCATGGATCTTTATAAAAAAATAAAAAAAGAGAGAAAATTCTTGAACTTTTCGGTAAAGGAAGTGGGCACAAAGCACAAAATAAATAAGAGAAGAGAAGACAAACCTAAGTAGTAGTGGGCGTGGTGGGCCAACAGCAGTCCTCTAGTCCTCAAGCAGACATTGCTTGTTGGGAGAAGACGAGAAGAAGAGCAAAGTGGAGAGAGAAAAGACAAATATGAAGTTTTTAATTCAGCTTGTGTGGGGGCAAAATAAAAAAAAATAAAAGTAATATTTTTTAAAAATTATATTAAAAAAAATTTTACATAACTTCCGTGGGGCACGTGCCCCCACTTGCCTCCGCCGCTGACTGCTTACTGGCTGCAGGTTTGGTAAGTAGAGAAGGCCAGCATGCATGGTGTTGACTAGGCTAGATTTGGTGTACAATAAAGAGATTAATAGTATTTAATTAATTACTGTTTTAATGTCTCTAGCTAGGATTTTTATAGTGTGCATATGTTGCAATTGAATCACCGATTTCTTTCATTTTGTTCTGCTTAATATTTCACATAATCCACTGGAAGCGTGTAATACAGTATAATTGTTTACATGGCAGTTTGCCCAATGGTACTAGAATGTTCCCCTCAAAATCAATGTTGATTCATACAGATAATAAGTACATAGCGTGATATTATATGAGATTTACAGGGATTAGCGGTGTAAAGCTACTCACACAAGAGTATGAATTTGAATTTTTACTCTTTACTTAGTTAAAAATAATCAAAAGTGAATGATAAAAATCTAAATCCATGTACGTTTAACAATTTTTCACGAGAAAAAATATATTACACTCAGTTATATATGCCATCGTTTTCAGGCACAAAGTCTGTTTGAAAAGGAAATTGGTCCCCTTTTGAGTCTCGTATAGGCCTCTAAAGTAGGATATTTGGAAAACAAAATATGGTTCCGATATGAAAATGATCGGTAGGTTGTACCTATTTTGTATTGTTTTCTCCAGTAGCCTTGGTGTACTACAAATACAGGGAACCCTTGCGTGGCCATGAGTCTTATTTATTGAATTTGGGATGATAAAAATTTGGACTCAAAACTTTAATATAAAAAAGGGTGTGAAACTACCACTAAATTGTAGGGAATTATTGTATTATGGCTTTCTACCTTATAAGCAAAATCACCGTAGCAGTGGCAATATAGCGGATTTATACGGCTTAATCACGTCCACGTGTAATGGCTTATGGGTGAGTTTAACTGTTAAGTTCATGCATAGCTTTCCCGTGGCGCTTTTCTTCTTCCACGAGTCACAGTAACGACATCTCCAACTTCACGTTTTATAACTTCCTCACCCTAGGAGATAATATACATATATATATATATATATATATATATATGCAAACTCTTCAATTCCTTCATCTGGTACTCACTGCCACAAACTTCCACTTCTTGCATATAGTAACGTATAGCATTCATTTCTCTGTCCATCTTAATTTCTTGCAAAATGGCACGACAACGACGAGCAGAACTACTCCTCTGCAGGGCCACCAACGCTCGGAAATATTCAAGGGGCGACTGCCCTGAGAGATGCCGGGAGCGCCGCCACCGGAGGATTCAGATGAGACGGTTGACGCCTTGCTCGTCTGGTCATAATGAGACGCCCATGTCTGATAAATATATTTCGCTTCACAATCGAAAGCGGCCACAGTTTATGGAGGCGGAGGAGGAGGAAGAAGGGGAGGAAGAAGAGGAAAATACTAATGATAAGCCGGTGGAGGAGCTGTCGCCGCCTCCGCGGCTTCAAAACCCAATGCCGGTTTCTAGTACGATTGCGATGAGGGAGTTTGCAGGGCGAATGGACGGCAAATTGTGCGTGAAGGAAGACTTTTGTCGACTGGAATTCGTTGGTGGCGAGCCCTTGCATTTCTTTGCCGTCTATGATGGTGATGTAAGGATTTCTATCATAAATCTCGTCATTTTTATTTTAGTTTAGAATAAAAATTTCGAATTTAGAGAGCTAAAAGTATATTAAAGACAATTATATATGGAATTACCCTTTTGTTATTATGATTATTTTTTTGACTTGGAAGGTGAGTTAGGTGTGGATTTATCATTTATGCTAGATTATACGAAAACAAAACAATTTACTCCCCTTTGAAACAGTCTTATCTTCGCTCTTTCTCTTGAGTCTAGGTTACTCTACAAACTTGTTCTTATCTAATTCAAAAAATATTGATTCGATTGCTTCTAAAGAAAATAGAGAAATCTTGGTAGTACTGGTGCATGCTATAGTTTTCTAGTTGAGGAAGTGTGACGCGTTTGTCTTATTATCAATATCAGTTACAAGTGGTAGAGAAAGATAAAAGAATGCAGTTAAAAATTCAAATTCATATTTTAACGTGCAATATGTAATGAATATATTTCAACAAACATGTATTGAACAAATCATGATGTGCAGGCGTCAGGTCTTTACAAAGAACTGATGCACCACTTCATAGCTGAGGAGCTGACGCGCGTCGACAGACACAGCTCGTTGTCATCGCGAAGCCGGCGGTGGCTGGAGGATCACCTGCGGACGGCTCTACGGAGGAGCTTCGAGAGGATGGATCAAGTGGTTGCGGGACCCTGCAGGTGCATAGAGAACGGGTATCCCTGCGCATGCAATCCCATCTGCAGGCTGGCTTTTGAAAGGTCCGCCGCTACGGTGGCTGTATTGACGGCGGAGCTTATAGTGGTCGCTCACTGCGGTGTCTCGAGCGCCGTCCTCTGCCGTGGTGGAATTCCCATCCCTCTCTCCCATGATCATCATAAGGTCTTCAGTCGTCGCTATGTCGTAAGTTGATATATTTCCTTTGGTTTTTGGTGTTAGAAAATCTGACGGTAAATATTGTTATATATAATTGGATGTAAAATTTCATCTCTTTCTTTCGCAGTCTCGAAGAAAATCTGAGCCAGAAAGGATTTGTGGAGTTAGTGAGCGGATAATTCCTTATTGCAATGGGGTACGAAAGTATGGAATTCTTGACATGTCCCGTCTAGGTAATCTTTTAATTTCCCTATGTATGTCATAAGAGTATATATACATATATATGTGTGTGTGTGTGTGGTGTGTAATCCGTAATATGCTTTGGAATAAAATAATAATCATATAATCCATAATAATGATTTCATTCCAAAAGAAAAAAGTACATATTTGGTGAACTTTAGCAAGCTAGTAAATAATTGTGTATGAGTCATGATCTTGGAATGAAATAATAATCATATAATCCCTACACAATTATGTGTCATACACAAAGAAAAAGGTACATATTTGGTGAACCACGACAAAGACTTGGAGAATTTTTTTTGCTTATCCAAACAGATAGAAAAAAAAAGGATGAAAATTATGTGTTTCACTATATAATCGTTAGAATGTAAAATAGATGGTTGGCTCACCGTTCTAAACTGCTTAAGATTTTAGGATAATCAATAGTTAGCTAGTAATCTAACATGGTATCAAAGGCAAACCAGTGGTTTATTCAGCCTTGGCTGAAAGGTTTCTTTTATTTATTTATTTTTTTGGAAGAAATGAATCAATTAGTACCTAATAAGTCATGATCTTGGAAAAAATCATGCTTCGAAATTGCTTTGATATACAAATCTTGAATCTGTCGGAAACAGGCAACCGCGTTGTAAGATCATCGGCCGTAGCATCCCAACCAGAGATTTCCATAACAGAAAGAAGAGTAGAAGATGAGTGCTTGATTCTTGCCAGTTATGGGATTTGGGAAGTCATATCTAACAACACAGCTTGCCATATAGCTACTACATGTCTTAGAGATGAGAACAGTACTAATAGTTCGAATGTGCCTCTTGGAGAGTTCAACAACAAATTTAGGCATGACCAAATCTTATTAGATGAGGAGGTATTTTCGTCTAAGAGCAGTAATATTGATGCAGCTGCATTACTCTGTCGCCTCGCGCTTGGTCGTGGAAGCAGTGACAATATGAGTGCTATAGTTGTTGATTTTAAGAGGCACTTACCGCTGGAAAGGCAAAACTAGAAGCTATATATGATCTCTTATTTGACTTCAATACTTCATCCTATTTACTTGCCTAATTTGAACGTTGTTTTATCATGTGGATTAGGTAATATTCTCGACCTTTGACTAGTGTGTATTTTTTTTTTAATTTTTTTTTTATAATTCTTTGACTATAGTGTATTGTTCACTTAATTGATCAAGATATATATACAATTTAGGGATGGTAATATTTCTCACGGGATGGAGAACGGGGGTAGGAATGGGAGATATACTGGTAGGAATGGGAGATATTTATCGGGGATGGAGATGGTGATGGAGATAGGAAAAAAATCTAGTTCCTGATTGATGGCTGGATGGGAACGGGAGATGTATTCCTCACCCCACCTCCGTCCCCATATTAATGTGCAAAAATGCAATAAAAATTAAAGGGGTTGTTCTTTTGTTTAAAAAAATTCAAAAAAAGACAACTCGAGTTTCAACTTTATTCAAGTTCATGTTCTTTTAAGTTCTAACTTTATTAAATTTTATTCAAGTTACAACTTCAACTCAAGTTATAACTCAAATTCAACTCAAAAATTACACTTAAGTTACACTCAAAAGAACAACCTCAAAGTTACTAGGAATAAACAAGAAAAGATAATTTACATTAATATTTTGATGGTTTCAAACTTTTTTCGCTTATATGTTAGTTATTCCTTTTGTATTCATTTTGTATTATGTTAAGAATTTAGTTTTTATCAAGTAATCTTTAATTTTAGTCTAAATTTATAATGAATTTCTACTCTATTTTTATTTTAAGATGTTATAATTTTAAAATGCATAATCCTATATGATGGGAAATTGAGTGGGTATGGAGAAGGCTCCTTCAATGGAGAATTCCCGACTCTGACCTCACTCCTCTTTAAGCGCGAATGGAGACGGAGATAGGGATAATTTAACATAGCACAGATATGGAGATGAGAAATCATCCTCCGCCCCACCCCGTTCTATTACCATCCCTAATACAATCAAGAATTTTTACCCTATCAAAGCGAATGATCGGAATTTCACTTCCTGATCTGTTAGTATTTCAGTTGCTCATAAGAATGCAATCAATCCCACCTTTTTTTTTATTGATAAAACTTTTTGTTTTATTAAAAATTAAGAGACCAACAATCTCGATGGATAGTCATTATATCTGTCCCACATGGAAGGGAGAATAATAAACTTTTTTAACACGTTTATATAAGAGCACTTCCAACTTTAGTTAATTTGTCAATATTGTTATTTTATTAACTTATTGTATGAAAATATATATTCTTCTTTTTCATCAATGACTAATTATATAGTGATTATTTATAGATAAGATTGTTTGTGGGCAACATTAGATAATTGGAGAAATTATAATCATTATAATCATCTTTGTATTCTATTCTAAATACCCTTCCCAAGATTCTCTGAACAAATTATAACAAGTTTAATTGATCAATATGTATAGATTTAACAGTTGCATGTGCTCTCTAATATGTTGTAAAGACTCTATTTCAAATATTAGATTTTATTCTATCCTTATATATAGAATCCTATGTAACCGAGCGGCTTTATACATATTGAACTCTGTAAATTAAATTTTAAACTAATGAAATTAACTTTTTAGATTTATGGTATAAGAGCTATCCCTCTCACAAGCCTCACAAGCTTGTCTAAGACTTCATTTTTTTTAGATGGCTTCTGATTCTTACACCACTGATCACGCTCCTTCTCTTGTTTTTCCCTCTCCAATCCTGCCCAAAACTTAATGACGATCAACATCGCAGCTCAACAACCTCAAAGCTCGCATCTCTGAATTACTTTTCATAGATAGCTCAATTCAATAATAGTTTCCACGGGCTAGAGCTTCTCGGGTAGCTTCAACATTAGTTCAAGATGGGCAAAACATTCCAAATCCTGATTACCCTCTTGGCGGTGACAGGATCATCTTATTTTTCATGCGATTCTTACTTTCCTAAGTGAAGCTGTGATTCCATTGGTATCCTCTGCAACATCAAGTCAGGAACCTTGGACTCATCTCTCTTGTCACTATGCCAAGAGATCTACCACTTTCATTACTCTCCTCCGCACAATGGCACTGCTGAAATTAGTCCCAGACACATGGTTGTCACTGGGTATCTTCTTCATCAGGCAAAAATTTCTCATAAATATTGGTCATTTGCCTTTCAAACTACAATTTTTTTTTTTAAATCAACTTCCGACTCCCATCTTACAATATTCTTCTCATCATAAAGAGTTACTTAATCAGTCACCAACTACATTAAATTGAAATCTTTTGCTGCTTATGTTTTCATTTGGCTAAAGCCATATGCTCATGTAATAAAAATCTTATTTTTGTCTTGGTATTAACATTAATAAGATTTTCACTTCCCGTCATGCTCGGTTTGTGGAGACTGAATTTTCTTTCTCAAAATATTCTTCTGATGTTTTTATCTCTTACAATGATTGGAATTTATCTTCTTCTGACTTTTCAAGACCACATTGCGTCTTTGCTACTCACCATGCCACAACAAGCGCCACCAATTAGTGATTTCACGGCTGCTCTAATTCATCTTTTTTGTCGCAGTCAAACACAGATAATTGCCACCAAATTCGACGGGTGTAAGTAAATCCGTGCATAATTCCTCTCCTCTGAATAATATAAATTCTTTGGCTTTTGTGTCCAAGTTCCTCCAACAGATTCTCCAACCAAATCCATATTGCAACAAACTCCTTAACCTTTTCCTTGTTCTTTGCGCACAAAGCCGATCTGCCCTACTCCAAACACACCTCTCACGCTACGAAAGCATCCTCGGAAAACAATATATTCAAACCAAAACACATCTTTCCAAGCAAATACAAATATAAATCATCCTCTTCCACATTTTGTTGAACCTTCATGTGTTACAGAAGCTATTAAGCATGTTGAATGGCGATGTCCGATGAACTTACTACACTTCTTCGAAATGGTACATGGGAACTCGTTCCTTCTACATCCTCTCAAATGTTGTTGGCTGTAAATAAGTCTTTTGGATAAAACGTAATCCTGATGGTTCCATCTCCAAGTATAAAGTTCACAACCAAGTCAATGCTGGTTTCTTCTCTCACATGGTTTTGTTAATTCTCAAGGTGACAACTTGCTATTTATCTATCAAACAACTATTTTCACTCTTTATTTTTTGGTTTATATAGATGGTCTTGATCGTCAATGGCAACACTAATGACTTCCTAAACAGTTTTATACAAACTCTGTCTACTAACTTTTTCTGTGAAAGGACCTTGGGGATCTCTTTTATTTTCAATGCATTGAAAAGAGAGTGATATGTCGGATGCTAAAGAGTGCACTGCGCTCATGCCAACAGAGATGCAACACAATTTTGTTAAGTAATTGGCGATCTTCAACATTTATCACTCACTCCGTCAGATGCACGTGTCTTATGCAATTAACAAGTTGGCTCGTTTCATGCATGCTCCTACTGAAACCATTGGTCTGCGGCAAAGAGAGTTTTGCGATATTTGATAAACACAATCCATCAAGATCGTTTTTCTCAAACGACATCAGAATCTCCATGAAACCGCCTCCATGGATGCGGATTGGGTAGGCAATCGTGACGATTGCACATTCACATCAGCCTACATTATCTATCTATGTGGTAATGCTATTTTGTGTTCAAAGAAACAAAAATTAGTACTCAGTCATCAACTTAAGCGGAAAAAATGTGAGTACGTACGCACTATGCACGCGAGAAGGAAAAGAGGAGGGTCGGACGTGGGGCTCACGCGACGTTATCAATCAATCAAAATTAACCATAACTTTTGATGTGATCAAAATCAAAGTTTCAGTGGACATTTAGTTCATGAATTCAGAATCATAATTCAAAATTATTTGTATTTTACGTGTATTTTTTGTTAGAGAAAAATAATGTAAAAACCCATAAATTATGATTCAGAATCAATGACGTATACAGAAAATAAACATTTTCGTCGTTTTGAATTATAAAGTTATGAGACAACGACCACGTTGATGCATGCATAGATCCATCTATAAGCAGTGTTTGGTCAGTAATCTAACCACCCGGGCATCATCTAAGTAATCTTACAATTTTTTTTTTCTTGACATAAGATATTAACAATAATATGTTACGTCTTTGAGTTTTCATTTTAATTTCCTTCGAATTGGGTACTAAGTTATTTACGTCTTTTAAAATTTCTCTTTTACTTTTCTTCACTTCTCTATATATACGTAAGAACAAGATGGAGAAATCTTATAAAATTACGGGAAAAAAGTGATGTAGAGAGGATTTCAACGTATACACAAGTTATATGACCTCGTTTACATGACTCGTTTTGAGCATTAATTAATGCATAGTATGATAATTTCATTATTATTTTTTTCTAGAGGAGAGAAAAATAATAATGAAATAAGATTTCAAACTTGCTATTGACAAGCCGAGGGATTTCAAAATTAACTTAGGGTTTTTAGCACTGTCGCCCTCTGAACTTGTCATGTTTTTACTAATTGCCCCTGAATTTTTAGTTTTGGCATTTAACTCTCTGAACTTGCTTAATCGTTACAATTTAACACATTCGGCTCACATCTGTTATAAAAGTGATGGAATTCGCCCACGTGAGACGCACAAGTGCATAACTAAAGGGGTAATTGCAACGATTACGCAAGTTCAGGATTTTAAATGTCAAAAATAAAAGTTTAGGAGACAATTAGTAAAAACACAACAAGTTCAGGGAGGCAAAACCCTTAAATTTATAATAACTCATACTAATAGTCTAATAGGTTTTGCTTATATCGACAGTGCTGATGCTTTTCCAATATTTTATTGAAATATTAAAGATGAGTGTATGTAGGGTGAAACAATTTGTCATTAATTAATACATAACTTGAGGAGACCAAAAAAAAAAAAACTGTATTGTTGAAAGTTGTCATAATAAACAGATAAGAAAAGGAAAGAAAACGACGTCAATTATTCTTTAATTTCATGGAAAAAAAAAAAAGAAAAAGGAGGAAGATTAATTGAGACTCTCATGACCACAAACTTTTATAAATTTACAATTCCTCGCTGTAACATCACATGTTTTGGTAAACAATACTACTTAATTGGGTCACAAAAAGTTGAAATAAAAGCAAGAACAATATATATATATATATATATATATATCTCTATAATAACAATAAAAAGTAGCTAGCCAGGGACATGGGAGCTATTGCTTCATTGATAGACAATAACAACCCTATAGGCTAAGCTCCTTAATTATGGCGTTTCCCTTATAATGCCAACGGCTAATATTGCTAGCTAGCTAGTTTTGTGGTGAATGTAGTTATTTATTTCAGTGTCGGTCTCATTACGCGGTCGAGTGTTATTTTCTTCTTGGAGGTTCTAGTTCTTTCTCTAAATAATTGGAATTAAAAAAGTCTAAGGTCGATGAACATATGGCACAACTACTAGTGTTGAGGCTTTTTGGAAAAGGAGTGTTAGATTTCTATGGTATGATTTGAAAAAATTAATTAGCAGTACGTGTATATTTTTAATCGTCAAATTTATATTAAAAATTGTTTGTATTGTTTATTTTAACGTGATTCTGATCTTATTTCACATGAAAAATATGTACAATCAGTATAAACATATATTGTAATTAGTCAACCCTAACAAAGAGAAAAGTTAAGGTTATTGGTTGTTGGGCATGTGGTCTTTCTTTCATTAGAGATGATCAAGTTGCTTGAAAGTTTAAGGTTACGTTCGATTTGAGTTTTTAATTTAAATTAAAATTTAATTTTATATTAAAATTTTTAATTATAATAAAAAAATTAAATGTAATTTTTTATAAAAATTTTTAACTATAATAAAATTAAAATTAAAATTTTAAATCGGTAAAATAAATTGCATGTGTAACTTAGAAAGAAAAAGACCAAGAAAAGTACCTGCTTCACTTTTCTTTTCCACTTACTTTATGGGTGGATGACTTTGACCAGGTCATTTTTGGCATTTAAAATTTCGTCTACTAGCTGGGTTGGTTTTCAAACTTTGGTGATATTAGCTCACTGAGCCCCACAACTTTGGTTTTGATAACATTCTCTTATAATCATTTATGTGTAACAACAATATTGAATCTTTTTTTCACCAAAAAAGAAAAATTGTCATCGGTGAACGAACTTTTAGGCTAACTAATATGAGCCTCTTTGCCCGCTTACTATTAGATAGATTAGTAAGTGTAGTGGTGAATAAATATTTAGAATTCTACTTATGAATATGAATAAAAATAAATTTATGATTGGTAAGTCTATATGATAGTAATTCAATGAATATATATATATATATGTATATGTATATCTTTTTCAACTAAGGTTTTGACACATTTTTATTTCATATGTTTTTGTCTTTGTTTTTCCCTCTTAGGGTGAATAACTCTTACCTCTCGAGTTAGTTTTTAGTTACTCTTATTAGCTAGTCATTGAATAAGGCAGGTTTTCTATTGACTATACGTTAGGCAAATTTTTTACCACTTTAAAACTATAAGGAAAATCTGAATTTCTGAAAATATCAACGAAACTTTCATTTTTATTCTTTTTATTTAACTTGAAGGCAGAGAATTTAAACTCTAAATCTAAATATGAAAAATAGGCATAGATTTAATGCTAAGCTAATTAGTCAAAACCATCAAATTTATAAAATTGGTTTTATCAAATTTGTTCTCAATAAACAATTTTAATAAACATATTTCATGCTTTGTTTAATCCACAGTTGCGATATTAAATAGTCATAATAAAGTGATGAAGGAGCAAAATAGATATAAAAAACAAAAGCAAAAAAAAAACTTTTTTTTATCTGTATAAATCATTAGTTTATATAGATTTTTTTTAAACGAATTTTTATAGATTTTCATATTGCACCTTGTTTAAAAATTAAAACAGCGCGAGTTTTATAAAAGATGATGCTGATACCAATATTGCATTGTGATATCACCCTTTAAGCTAAAAAACAAAAAAAAAACAAAAAAAAAAAGAAAAAAAGATGATTTAACTTGTAATGAAGTGTTGGAAATAAATGCCATCTGTTATCTCAGCTTCATTATTTATTTCGAGTAAAACAATTATCTTATCTACATAACGCTACAATATAAATATATTGTATAATTTACATTTTTATGAGATATTATCATCGCCGTAAATTTTGACCGGAGACTTTAACTTTACCGATTTAAATTTTTAATTTAAATTAAGATATAATATTTTTAAAAAAATTTTAATTATAACAAAAAAAAAATTAAATATGATATTTTTAAAAAATTTTAACTATAAAAACTGAATGTCATAAACAGTTGAAAAGGGTCAGGGATGAAAATGGGCTCTTATTATCAGGACGTACTGTTATAAAGCCCATTTGATAGTGTCACATATTAGAGCATCTTAATTTCTAAAATTTTAGTTAAATTTTAACTAAAATAATTAAAAATTTATTTTAATTAGTAATTTTTGAGTGGTACACTGTAACTATACTCTATACTTTAATTAAACATAAATTATTTTAATATTTATTAAATTTAAAAATATAAATAATTTTATTGCATTTATATAGAACCTTTACATTTATTATAATTTAAAAGAATAAAAGAATATAAAAAATTAAATAATTAACCTGTTCTTTAACTATGTTTAATCAGCGTGAAATAAAATTTTCAAACCATTAACCATTTTAATTAAAAATACGAAATAGGAAAGACAGAAGAAAGAGAGAGAGAAACTGTGAATAAACACACAGACAAACAAACAACTCCCTCTCTTCCTTTACAGCAAACAAAGAAGAAGAAAAAAAAGACAGCGTCTTCTTCTTCTGCAATCTTCACCAGTGCAGCGATGAAGATTCACTATTGGTAAGCAGAAATCCAAAAGTTTGTCTTTTTCGTTATTCCCGTTGAACATGCCGTCTCGTTCAATCCCAGCTCCGTCGCCGGCGCCTTCCCAGTTCCGCCACACTCCGACGGCTCCTCTGGCGGCGGCGGCCACCGGCGCCGCCTTCTCGGTCCTTCTATTCTTGGTTGTCTGCTTCCGCAAGGTCACTCGCAAGCGCACGGCCCCCGAGGCCGACTCCATCCCCAACTCCAAATCCAAGCCTCCACACCGCCTCCCCTACGCCGTCCTCCGCCGCGCCACCGACTCCTTCTCCCCATCCCGCCGCCTCGGCCAGGGCGGCTTCGGCCCCGTCTTCTACGGCACCCTCCCCAAGACCGGCCAGCAGATCGCCGTCAAGCTCATGGACTCCGGCTCCCTCCAGGGCGAGCGCGAGTTCCAGAACGAGCTCTTCTTCGCCGCCATGCTCGACTCCCACCATGTTGTCTCCGTCCTCGGCTTCTCCTCCGACCGGAAGCGTCGCCGGATGCTGCTCGTCTACGAGTTCATGCACAACGGCAATTTGCAGGACGCTCTACTGCATCGGAAATGCCCCGAGCTGATGATGTGGAAGAAGAGGTTCGCGATCGCGGTCGATATCGCCAAAGGCTTGGAGTACCTCCACGGATTGGAGCAGCCGATTATCCATGGCGATATCAAGCCTAGTAATATACTTTTGGACAGGTACTTCTCTGCTAAAATTGGGGATTTTGGGCTCGCTAGGTTGAAATTGGATTATCAGATTGAGGTGTCTGTAGAGGGATGTGATGCTACGAAGACGACGAACGGTAGTCATGGCGGCGGAGTTGAGGATTATGGCTCGGTGGTTGAGGAAACTGAGAGTGTCACTACGGTGTTTGAGGAATTGAATGCGGGTTTCGATCTATCGCCGGAGAGTTTCGTAAAGGTTTCGACTTCGCCCGAGCCGGTGGTGATGGCGTCTTCGGCGGCTTCTGCGTTGACGGAATCGCCGGAGGGATTCGAGAAAGCGAGCGCATCGGAGAGCAATTTTGACAAGGCGTCTCCGGCGAAACAGAATCGGGATAAAGATTGGTGGTTGAGACAGGACGATGGGGCTGTGAAGGACTATGTGTTGGAATGGATTGGGACTGAGATAAAGAACGAGAGACCGAAGAGTGATTGGATTGGACCGACGGCTTCGTCGAGTAATGATAATTTCGGGAAGGCCGAGAAGAAGAAAAAGAAGAGTGGTAGGAAGCAATTGGATTGGTGGATGTCAATGGATGACGAAAAGGAAAAAAACGTGAAGAATTCATCGAGGAAGGAGAAGAGGAGACCGGCAAGGGAGTGGTGGAAGGAGGAGTACTGCGAAGAGCTCGCGAAGAAAAAGAAGAAAAAGATGAAGCAACAGAGGGGAACGGTGAGTGATGTCGAAAATGGTGATGGTTGGTGGCTGCAAGACGAGGAATTCTACACGGAGAGGAGGAGGAAGAACAAGAGCAGGAGTCGAAGTCGGAGTAGCTTAGATTGGTGGTTGGACGGGCTTAGCGGCGAGCTGAGGAGACCCCGACGCAATGGCAATAATGACTCCGCTAGTGGAGAAATTCCCAGGAGTGGAGAAATTCCCAGGAGTGGTGGCTTCAGTAGCACTCCTAGTATGCGAGGAACCGTGTGTTATGTTGCCCCGGAAACTGGTTTCGGTGAGAATGCTTCGGAGAGGTGTGATGTTTATAGCTTTGGGGTCTCATTTTTAGTCCTTATAGCCGGGAGACGCCCACTTCAGGTGACAACTTCACCTTTATCCGAATACAAGAGTGCGAATCTCTTGTCATGGGCTCGGCATCTTGCCCGAGAAGGAAAACTTCTTGATCTTGTTGATAAGTCTATTCAGTCTTTGGATCAAGAACAGGCTATTCTTTGCATCACAGTTGCGTTGCTGTGTTTGCAGAAGATACCGGCTCGCAGGCCTTCAATGAAAGAGGTTGTGGGGATGCTTACTGGGGAATTGGAACCTCCCCGGTTACCGGCTGATTTGTCCCCTTCGCCGCAGTCAAGATTTCCATTCAAGACTCATAAAAGGGTCCGGTGAGTTTGTCTAATTTCTAAACTTGTGTTTGTTTATTTATGTTAAACAGTAGATGGTATACTGATTGTAAATCACTACCCTTCAGTTTTGTGGGTGATTCACGTATACAAGAAAATTTGAGAAGAAAAGAAAGGGAGATAATTTATGTTTCACATCAATGGAGTTGATTATTACAAATGCTTTTCTCTTCATTTTGTTGATTACAGGATTGGCATATATTACATCCAAAAGTTATTAGATCTAGCTATTCAGGGCATAAATTTTGGCGTAAATCATAACACCGTGACCCCACTTTCTTTCTTTGTTACATGGATTTCAGTATTGTCATCATGAACAGTTCCTTTTTGCTTTTCAACGACAAACATGCTTTTTGTTAGTCTGTTTTCTAGATACTCGATTAAGGGACTTCCCTCCTCCTCTCTAACAGTCAACACAGAAGAAGAAAAAAGGAAAAAAGAGAAGAAAAAAAAAAAAGGAATTGATGAAAAAGAAAAAGAAAACAAAGAAGTAGCTTGCTTTTTATCTTTAGAGAATTTTATGGCCAGGAGAATTGTCCCATTGGTGTCGACACTTTTCATAGGTTGACCCTGCTTTTTGTATATGCAATTTTGTATCTTGGTAGAAAGGCAGAGTTATTTCATATAAAATACTGACCTAATTGTATTGGAACATAGTGACACAAACGGTACAATACAAGGTACATATTATTGCCCTGTAATGATGCCTATAATTGATCTGTCTGAAGTTGCACATGCCACATGGCATAATCATAGGCACTGCTCTAGACTTGGCCATTGCGTAAAGCTTCAAAATTTGATAATCTTTGGGCAAATTTTAGATATTCCCAGCTCTTAATTTCCAAATATAGTATACATGATCTCTCTCTCTCTGCTCTGATAATTCTATCTCTTATAAATGTTCTCATGCTCTCCCCCATAGATAGATGAAAATGAAGTATTTAGATCTGATTGTGTCGTTCCAGGTAAATAATTGAGATTTTAGACTCTGAATGTAGAAGAAAGTGGCCGTTGAACATTGGATAAAAGTGGTACTATTTGTCACTCTCTTTTGGCATGGTTTTGATAAGTTGCCGTGTTCACTATATAAAACTTAGTGAAACATGTGTGCAATTTACCTTTAGAAAAAGAAAAAAAAAATGTATTTTATTATTATTTTTTTTTTGGGTTCATTTGTTGCGACTAAACATTGATGAAAAATTGCCTCACAAAAAGGAGGAATAAACAGGAAAACAAAAAATGTCATGCTATTTATGGTCTTAGCAGATTGCTTATTAATGTCTTCTTCTTTCAAAAAAAAAAAAAAAAGAGCTTAAATTGCTTCTTAATCCTTGGAGAAAGGAGACAAGTACTTCCTAAATTGCATAGGTTTTGATTTCTACCATTTACTTTTTAATAATATCATTTTTAATTAATATTATATTAATTAAAATGGTATTAATTAAGAATAATAAGTAAATTCTAAACTAGTTATTTTAAGGGTAAGTTATTTAATTTTCTCTAATTGTGGTAGTGTGTGCGCGCTTATTTTCAAACCTCCACCCTTCTCTCCCTCATGATCAATCAAAGGTTTGCACCACATTGGAATGGGCCTGCCAATAAGCTTTGCTTTTGGGCTCTTTAAGTTCTAAGTCTAGTCTGGGGGAGGCCCTCTTTGTGGTGGGCCCTATATGGAGGCTGTAATTGGTCCTCTTCTTTTTGTTAGTACAGAGCGTTTATAAAACACACACAAAAACATAATTTTGGCTGATTAGCCATATCTTGTCTTTTGATAAACGCAACATAGACATAATATTCCCATTGATCATTATGCTAAAGAAATTTCCTTGGGATGAAAGAAAAGAAATCGCTTTGTTGTAACGTGCTCAGGATTTGTTGATTCATTTGCGTTTGTCATCAAGGCAATAGCTATTTTCCCGTAACTTATGATTGAGAGCATCTTTTATTAATTTGGGGATACTTCCACTAATTAGCATTTTAGCGTCTCCGTAAAGTGGGTTCCTTCTTAGAGCACGCTTTCTACAAATTATAGATTTCTTTCTTCTTAAGTAATCACTTTCGAACTACTTTGAATTTGTAATCTATATTGTATTGTGTGTCTCTGGAAATTGTTGCATTAATTTAGGGCCGGATCTTTTGAGTGAAAAACTTAAAAAAATGCAACTCGAGTTACAACTTTATTCGAGTTCATGTTATTTTAAGTTTAAATTTGAGTTTAAACTCGAGTTTATGATTAAAACTCGAATTCAAGTTTCTCCTTCAACTCGAGTTCAGAAACTCGAACTCAAATTAATAAACAATATTTTTCTACTCTTAAAAATGCTATAACTTTTTCGTTTTAAGTCTGATTGAGATGATTTTTTTTCTATGCGTTGACAACGAAAAGACGAATAAAACCCGACCCATATACCCTATTAAAATTTTTCATCAGCATTGAGTTTTTATTAAAATACTATCTAAATACAAATTCAAGTTTTGACTCACTCAAAAAGATTCTTATCTCAAACCATAACTCAAATGTACACAACCAAACACAAACTCAAGTTACAAGTTCAACTCAAGTTATAACTCAAATTCAACTCAAGAATTATACTCAAGTTAAACTCTAAAAGAAATAACCAGTTCTTGAGACTTCTCATCTCATAAATGATTCTTGAAGTTTATCTTAAATCTCAATTTAGTTCTTGATTTTTAAAACGTTTCACAATTAGTCTCTGAGATTTTGTTTTATTTTAATTTTTGTTCTTCCACTAACTAGGTGCTAAATATTTAACGGAATATGTAAAAATTTAGCGTTAAATATTTAACGAAATTTGTAAAAGTTAAAGAACAAAATTAAAAACACCTAAGGACTAAAATAATGTAAAAAATAAAAGTTAGTTTCCACATATAGTTTTTAAATTTTAACTGTTTCTAATTGTAGTTCTTGATTTACATAGATTCCGTCAAATATTAACACTCAATTAATGGAAAAATTAAAACTAAAACAGAGCAAAACTTTAGAGACATACTATAAGACATTTTAAAAGTCAGAAAATAATGTAAGATTTAGGATAAACATGAGGAAATATTTATGAAATTAACCCAAAATAGAAAAAAAGAGTTGAGAGAGAAGAGATGAGCTCTTGCCTGTTCTAGGCTACCCAATCCTATTGAATTTCACATGTGGAAGAACTCCTTCTGCATGTGAGAACTTGTATACGAATTTAAATTTCGTTTATTTTATCGATTTAAATTTAAAATTTAAATTTTGTTATAATAAAATATTTTCAAAAATAATCACATCTAATTTTTTTATTATAATAAAAAATTTTCACATAAAATTATATTTTAATTTAAATTAAAAATTTAAATCAGTAAATTAAAGCAATCATTAAGGTAATAAAATAGAGATGATAGAATAAAAAGTCGTCACTTATATTTTATAAAAAAAAAAAGTCTGTTTTATTACATCAATTCATCAATAATTGGGCCAAGAAAGAAACATGAGTGTTGTTTGATCAGGGGATTCATTCCCTGATTTGAATCATGGTTCGTGATTCGCTACAGTATCTTTTCTCATAAAAAATACACGTAAATTAAAAATAATTCTAATTACATGTTCTAATTCATGAACCAAACGTCTCCGAATTAACATTGAAGGAGTGGGTACTCACCACTTGGCAATGATTTTTATTTGGATTAATTTTAAAAATATGTCCTAAAATATATATTTAAATTGCTAAACGAATCAAAATATCTTCTCCGTTACTTTTACTTCTGTCTATAATCTTAACAGAGTGCTACATGGGACATGGCACTCATTTAAATACATTAAAATATCTGAAATTAAACTGACAAATGATTAATTAGTAGAAAATTAATTAAAAAAAGAAAAATATACAGCTGAACTCTGAAGTTTCTTTTCAAAACCCACTCAAGCTCAATGCACCAAATCGGCCTCCACCTCCTCCTCTCGACGGCGATAGTCCCTTGTCCGGCGACGATCAAGTCGGCTCACTTGCCTCCTCAGTCCACTGCACCAACGAAATGCTGAATGCCGATGGCAGCTATGGCGTAATCAACGGCTGAGAGTTGGACTTAATCTTCTTCATGGCGTCGTCTTTGCTGAGTCCGGATTTGGGGCGGCCATTGATGACGAGCAAAGCTTGGAAGATTATGCGGAGTGAGAGAGTGAAGGAGTGAGGGAGAGGAATTTTGTAGGCGTTGATTTCGTTGGGTTTTTTTTTTCGCGTTGTGCAGGAGCCTGGGTTGGTGCGCGGATGAGGGCGCCACGATTGGGTTGCACGGCGGCGAAGGGGGCTCGGTCGCATAAGGGTGGGGCGGACGGCCTTATAGGGATGGCGGGGCCTGGGTTTGCTTGGCCAGGATAGGAATCTGGTTTTTTTGTTTTTTTGTTTTTTCCTTTTTTTCTCTCTTTACACGGATCTGAAAGTACAGGTCTTATTTCAAAAAAAAAAAAAAAAAGAAAGAAAGAAAGTACAGATCTGGTTTCTTTGGGCATTTCTCTAAATTTCAAATATTTGAATGAGATTAGATCTTTTGTGTGTTTTTATCTGAATATTGGATCTATCGTTCTCGTTGTTTAAAGGGGTTTCATTGTAGATTTTGGTCTGTATCCTTTGGGACTTTGAGTGAGGTGAAGACGAAGAAGACATGATTTTAATTTTTTTTTTGGTTCTTTTGAGTTTTTTCATTTAAAAATAAAAATCACTGATTTATTTAATTTTGATTTTTTAATTAGAGTTTAATACTTTTAAGTAATTTAAAATGAGTGTCACCTAAGTAAATTCGTTAACATTATGGACAAAAATATGGAGAGGATAATTTAATTTGTTGTTTATATATTAAAAGGTGTTTTAAACTATTTTAAAAAATTAATAAATATTTTAAAATAAGTATATAGTTTGGGAGTATTTATAAAAATAATTCTTTTTATTTTTTTGACATGTGGCACTCATGATCAATTCTTCCTCTTTTAACTTTTTCATCGTTATAAGGTGTTTAGTATAAAAATTTATATTATAGTTTAAATTATAATTGTGACTTGTTACAGTATTTTTTTTTATAAAAAATACACATAAATTAAGAATAATTTTAAATCATAATTTTAAATTCGTAAACTAAACGTCTTTCCTCGTATTCTTCCTCTGTTAACTATATATTATGTTGCCACTTCAGCGCAAAAAACTAATAACTTTAAAGAACTTATGTGTTGTCTCAAGGCTGTGATTGAGATTGTAAGAAGAAGTATACGGTCGAATCTTAATTTATATTAGCAGAGACACACCGCAAGTCACTAGGGGCACGTTCTTTTGTCTAAAAAATTAAAAAAAAGACAACTCAAGTTTCAACTTTATTTAAGTTCACGTTCTTTTAAGTTTCAACTTTATTCAATTTTACTCAACTTTATTCAAGTTCTAACTTCAACTCAAGCTATAACTCAAATTCGACTCAAAAACTACACTCAAGTTATACTCTAAAAGAATAACCTCTGGATGTTGCAACTTCAGCCGAAAACGGAAGGGGAAATGAACACGAGCTTATGCATGGTTGACAATGATATTATGCATATATAGTAACGGAATCCTAGTGCTGAAGTCAAAGTCAAACTATGGAGGAGTTAGCTTCCTGCCTAAACCACTCACAGATGCCACAAACCTACCTGCACACTATTTGAAAGATGAAGATCGATCTAAGTTGAAATGACAAGTATTAAAAAACAAGAAGAAAAAAGTATGACAAAAATAAAGATCTCGTTCATTTCACCGATCCGACTTTACAGTAAAAAATTCTTAGAAATAGTTATATTTAACTTTTTTATTATAGTAAAAAGTTCTCACATAAAATCACATCTCAACTCAAATTAACGAACTAAACGGATCCAAAATAAATAGAATAAAGAACGTATGTAGAGATAGCGATAAATAATTTTATTTTTCTTAAGAATAAGTGGTGTCCTCGTGTCCTCATAAGTGTGAAAACAATGGATCCTCACTCATTCTTTCGTCTACCAGCAACTAAAATGGACCCCTAAGTCACAGCAAGACCAATTCTAGAGACATAATTATAGCTCACTGTAAACGAGGGAAATCAATCCCTGACTGATGAGAGAGAGAGAGTCCGATAGGTTATTTTCTTGCCACCACCGCCACCCGTGATTAGCAATATATGACTATATATTGTTTCCCATGAAACTTATTCTGAAAACAATTAGTGCAGATGTATACACACGTGCACAAGCCTAAGTTATATATATATACACATGCATACATACATAAACCTACTGAATTAGTATAGGAAGAGATCAATTCCGATTCTTAGTAGATAAATATTAATTTACACTACTAACAGAAATACAAAAATATACACTTTCACCCAAATCTTAATGCCACTCTCTATTTTCTTCTTAATTTCCTTTTCAAACTCTTTCTTTCCGTTTAAATACATTACGAATTAATAATTTCAGTGTCTAGCATTTGCATGAGCTTGTTATCAGTTTGTTTAACTTGCCTAGATAATGTCTCTGTATACAAGAGCTAAGCCTTTTGTTGCGAATTACAAGTACTGGTTACGAGAACCTGAAATATGTTAAATAATTCAAGCGTGTCAAAACTGATGAGCTCGCAAACATATTAATGTTTTTGATTTACTTTTTAGAAGCACATTTTTCTTAATTTGCATGTTGTCTACAATCGCAGCTAATATAATTAAGGAAGCTACCACATGCAAAACATGAATTGCTAGGTAAGGGTACCAGCATAAAATAAGAGAGAAGAAAATGCGGATCTGAAATATACAAAAAGCAAAAGCGTACGTACACCAGTACTTAATTTAGAGATAGTCTTTTTATATGACTCTGTAGTACGTATTTGTATCTATTTATTAAGAGAGAACAAAACAGTTAGGGTACATACATACATATATATATATATATATATATAATGCAAAATTGCGTCCAACAAGATCTCAACTATATATAATACGGCCACCGACATTCAAGTTTGGCTGTCTGACTCATGATGCATGAGAACCTAGAAACATTTCAGCATCTATTATTAGAAGAAAGAATTCATCCGTATTATAAATTTTATGACAGATCAGAGCAGGGGCCAATCCATTTTATCTGTTATTATATATATAAGAAAACAATCTCATGGTATAGGCCAATTACCACACACACACACACACGCACACACACACAAGAGAGAGAGAGAGAGAGAGAGAATTGACAAAAAGCATTTCCCAACTAATAAACTAGGTAACGTGCGGCCAATTGTAAACTGATAGTGCATGGCATATAATTGATATACATACATGCATAACCATATTGAACACATATAAGTGGTCCAAACTTCATACTTTTCTTTCATTCATATATAGTCGAACTCGATCATATACTACCTATATCATGTCTAATTAGTATATTGCGTCCACTACATGGAGAAACAACCATATGCATACTAGTATTTCTCAATTATAAATAGGCCATGTGACTTCAGCACAAGTCCCTTCTGTGTAATCTAATCTACCCTATTCATCACAAAACATAGTACATTCCAAAATTTTCTACCACTCAACCATGCCAAACAAATTTTAGAAGGGTGATCAATGATAAAGAGAATAATATTGTCGCTACGCATTTTTTTGTTTTATGTATTTTTTTTTTCACATATAGATATAATTCAATAATCAGTACTTTGCATTTTCTGAAGCAGCAAGGACAAGAAATTCAATTACCTGCACGTGTTTTACTCATTTACCTTACAACTGGATAGTGATAGAGAAGAATAGCTATTACCTAACTAATGTGCTCTCGACAAGAGGCAATAAAACACTTCTAAGAGGTTGGGCATTATAGTCTTGAGGAAAGGGTAACACAGAAGTTGAGATCTTATATAAAGATACTTTGAAAGACCATCTCTAATATAAATATTATATTTGATCTTAAAAAAATACGAATATGCTATTTTGATTTGTACTCCAATACATAATGTTATTTCAAATTCTATATCTGGTTTATTAACGGAAAAATGCCATATATCTAGTTCTTATCATAATTTTTAAACTTAGAAAGTTTTCAAAATTAGACTTTTAATTTTAAAATAATTTGAAAATGTCAATTTTATAATGCTTGAATAAAAAATTAATATATCAACAAATATCAATCAAATGCTAAAATTTGACATATGCTATATATTTGGTGCCAATTTCGCCACTGACTATAGCATATGTCAAAATTTAACACTGAGAACAACACTATTTAGAGAGTAATTTTTCTATTCAAACACAAATTTAATATTTACACGCTAATTTAACATTGCATTATAGATGCTCTTAGATTTCAAGTCCAAGATAGGGGTACTTCTGTGTTCCACATCGCCTAAGAAAAAAATATTTGGGACCATGTATGTACGTGAGACCGTAGAAAAGTGAATCTCATAGTTACTACAAAGAAAAACAGTACACAAAGGAGGCTTACGAGATAGTATGCGGCCATCTTTTCTCACAGTGTTTCCACAGAAAAGCCAGCAAAAAAATGTCATCAATTGGCAGAAAAATGTCAAAAATGACTTTTGATAAGTCATTCCCTACCTAGGATCAGTGCAAAGACCAAAAATGTCAGATTATGAGTCATGGATAACTACATGCAGCAAGTCAACCGTACATGAACAAAAAAACTAACGTTAATTGGATAATCAGGATATACTCTTATACAGATCATGATGAATATGGATCAATCACTTCGTTTACTTTCTGTTCAAGCGCTGACAGATTGATGCTTTCTATATTACTGGCCTGTGAAGGAAAAATTGAACATGTGCGTGAAATTACAGGTCTAATAGAAATATATATACAAGAATAGAACCCTAAAGCTGAAATGATATATATAGTACGTAGTACCTCGGACTGAATAGTGTGAAGAAATCTGTCGTTTACTTTGGTGGAAACACAGCTCACTAAGCTAAGCCCTTCTTCAAGTAGCACTTCCAAAATCCTTGAGAGGGGAAAACATTTACCTTCTCCGAAATCGCCAACACCGATGATGATTTCAACTCCACCGCGACAACTTTGAACTGTTAAGAAGCGTCCTGGCACCGGAGAACAGCTGCTTGAGCTAACACTTCCGTCGCGGTCGGTAGGCCTAGTACTCAAATCGGACGATTTCTTTAGCCCATCTCTCTTGGCGCCGAGATCTTTGATCTTCACTTGGAGGTGTTTTATGTACCTCACAGCCTCGTTGATGTGGTCGGATATAGAACGTTTTCCCTGAAATCCCATCAACATATTAGCCCTAAGGTCACAAGCGAAAAAATCATGACTACCAATTCAGATCCATGTTTCACAAAGTCACAACTCTATAACAAGCTGGGAAAAAAGATAGAAGAGAAAAAAAAACATGTATAATGGTTTTTTCAACTGAATAATAAAAGGGAATTTTTTTTATTTGACAAAGAGAAAGATCAAGGGGAAAAAGAAAATTATATATATATATATATATATCATGGCATGAAGAAGAGGTTTTCTTCACCTTGATTAACTGGAGTGGGAGTAAGGATCTAAGGGAGGCGTGAAGAGTAGCCATTTCTTGCCTTCTTAGCCTTTCAATGTCTCTATGCTTCATCTTCTTCTTGTTCTTGGTCTCGATATTCGAGCTCCGAATCTGACAATTATTATTATTGTTCAGATCAGTGGGAAGTTTGAAGATGATCTCCTTAATATCATCATAATCATGAGTAGTAGTGTCGAAAGCAATATTCTTATCTTCCAGTGAAGCCTGGCCAAGAATCAGATCTTCTGAGATCGTCTGCTTTTTGTGGGGATTAGGTGAACTCTTGAAGCACAGCTCACTGCTTTGATGTAAAGGAAACATAATTTGCAGGACAAAAATAATAATTCAATTTCAAGGCCGATTTTTTTCCTGTGTACTTGGGGATGGGAGTCCTGGTCAAGGGAAAGGAAAGATGTGTTGGTTAGGGTATGTGATCCTTGATGGGCCTCTCTAAGAGCCAAAGATTCCTTGTAATCTCCTCAAATCTAAAGGTAAGATGATAAATGACATCACCGGCCATATTATTAAAGAAATATATAAATATATACATATACATACATATATATATATATATATTTATATATTTGCTTGTTGACACTGTTTTACATATGTACAAACTTTAAGTTAGCCCCACTCATCTGCCCTCACATTTGGTGGAATATGGACCTAAAGCAATTACTTTACATTGAGCTTCTCTCTCTTTCTCTCTTTGCTATTTTATTTTAATCGTTATTTTCTTTGCCATCAATAAGGCTTCTCTATGTGATTTAAAAAAATAAATAAATAAACACACATAGACATTAACCCATAACATTGCTCCTGATATGCTCAATTAATCACTCAGAACATATAGTAATTTTCGATGTTGAGATCATAATTTATATCTATTTATTTCTTTTGATCAAATTAATATTTGACATTAAAGTAATTTGAATCTAAAGTTTAATTCATTTCACTGATTTGAGTTTACAATTTGAGTTTTGTTACAGTGAAAAAGCTCTAAAAAATAATCATATCTAATTTTTTTATTACAATAAAAAATTCACATATAAAATCACATTTTAATTCGAATGCAAACTAAACAAACTCTAAGTAGGAATCATTTAGGTACTCCTTTTTACTTAAAAATATAATCTCTAATGATTGTCGATTCCAAATTTTACTGTAATCAGGTAATTTTCAAAGGGGTAAAACTATTTGATAAGGATGTTTTCAAATCATTACTCGGTGGTTAAACTTAGTGGAAGCCGGACAGGAAAGCGAACACTTGTCAATATCAGCATGCAACACATTAATTGCTTCAACAAGACTTTTACTGTTTTAAAAATGACAAAAATTCAATAATCACAAAAATGGACCCACGTCTTCTCCACGATAAATGTGATTAACTATATGTCTACACAACGAAGAAAGTGATGAATGATTATCCCGTTTTGACTAGTTGCGGAAAATTAGTAGTTGTTTTTGGAAGCTACCTTTTCAAAAGCTGTTCTCGAAAACGTTTGGATATTTTTCAGAAGAATTTTTGCTTTCCATCAGAGTTTTCAATCAATGAGTCACAAATAAAACTTCTTCAAAATGCTCTTCTAAAAACACTTTTAAAATTTATATCAGAGTTTTGATAAAATAGTATAATCTTTACTCGAACATATTTAACGACTTTAAAAAAATTAAACTGTCTGAAAGCAAAAGCGGGTCAAAATATAATTAAGTAAATAAATTCATTCTGCTAAGCAGTATGACATTTGAACCACTCGCATTATTGTGTGTTTAAATTGAAAATACTAACGAATGGATTAGCAGGCGAGAGGAACCGATGTATTCTCGTAGGGACATGGAATAAATTGAAGCGGTAAATAATGGAAGTACATATATATATATATATAGTGCCATTAATTGATCAATGGCACGAAAAAGCTTTGTTCTTTTTTCTTTAGCTAATGGAGTTCTCACAGTAAAAGTTGGGCCCTTTGTGTTTATATATATATTTTTTACGCACGTGCTCTTATTTCTCTCTCCCACTTTTACTTTCCGGCAGTTCAACTTTAGGCACCTAATTATGTCTTTCTTGTGGTAATGGAACGGAACACGAAACTCTTGACTTGTCGTATGTGAACGAAACCCGATGATCTTAGTTCGTGGTAAATACAGAGGTTGGAACACGACAATGCTATCATTAACACAACAGTTTGTAGTTTCTACCTAAATTAATTCAAGAAGGTCGGAAATGTCATGAATATTAATATTTTGCTTTTATTAATTAACAAACGATAATTATTCTATGACTCATGATCTTATAATATCAATTATTAGTGATTCTATCAAAAGATTACGGGACCATTAGTTTCTTAGAATATTTTTTTTTACAATAATTGTCAATGCGAAAAATTAATTAGCATTCATAATGTCGAATATAGAAATATATAACAAGTACCTGCATATCTTATTTTGGGCTTAGAAAATGTTGTCATCAGATACTGTTCATGCACCGGATCTTTGGTCGGAGAAAGGAGGAAATAAAGCAGCAGAACCGGCCACGTTACATAGAATCAAGGAGAATATTTTCCGGCAGTGTCGATTATATGCTTTATGAGTTGGACAAAGATTTGTTGAATTTGTTTATTACATAAAATGCTCGGTGAAACACCTTAGCTGCTTCCCATGTCCTCTTTCACTGACAAATGAAGATTAGAACTCATTAAATAAATCTAGTTATTATATAGTAGTTATTAATGTGAAGCGTATGTGAATGAAATGTGGAGCCGAATGTAGGAGATTTCTATCCTATCCAGAGGGCAAAGCAAAGTTCAACAATATAAAAATTATGGGTACTGGTTATTAGGTTTTTATATGCAAAATGTCAGAATGAATGAGCATTTTCTGATAAGATGTTCAACATCGGCTTATATATAGAATGGAAAAATATAATTTTACGGCAAGAATCATAAATATACTTGGGTCCTGTTGGCTGTTCCAATGAGATCTATTAGACTATTACCACATTTTGTATTCAAGGGGAAAACTCTGCCCCCTTAAAAAAGGTGTATCAAACTTAACTTTTGACTTTTGATCCATGTCCCTTCAATTCATAGGTTTGAATATATAGAAGTTTAAACAAAAATTCAAAGTATTATAAAAGAGAAAATACTAATAGTACACAAAGTTCGTATTGTAATTCAAATGTAGAACAAACCGAGGTATAGAAGTCCAGGCAAATATAAATCTTATTATATTAATGTTTTTCATTTTATTTTCTTGCTGAGAAAAGAAAGTATGTAGTCCACAGGATCACAATTGTACATATGTGATCACTCTCAGCAGATTCCTGTATCTCCAGCCTATATTATTGGAGGCATACCCTCGTGAGTTTTAAGCATCTTCTTTGTTGATAGAGATGATTAAAAAATTGACATAATTGAGGCCACGTGATCGATACTAAAAATATAATATTAATATTTACCTTTCTTCCAATGTGAGGTTTGTTTTCAGCGTATCTACAAGTTAGTGGGTTGTCACGTAGTTATTTAAGTTTGGGAAAATCCATTTTTGGAATCCTCTTTTCTCTGAGAATTTAATGAAAATATTTATGTGGATAAAAATACTTACAAATTAGTTGAGATACTTGAGAAGAAATGTTCTGATATTAGTTTATATTACATTACAAAATTCTGCCGAATAAACTAATTCTATTGGAATGTTAGAGAAAAAACGTTATAACTTAAGGGGTCCCAGTTGATCTTATTGGATTTTCTCAAATACTTTCCTTTATATGTACAGGAGATGACTCATGACAATCTGTCAAGTGTCAAGTGTCAAGTGTCAAGGACAACAAGTGACGGAGCTAGTTGAAGATAATCAGTGAGGTAGCTGCTTCCACTTAAATTTTTTTTTTTTTAAATATTACTTTTAAAAATTTTAAAATTTTACACTTAAACTCCACTGAAATAATATATGTCTCCACTAAAATAAAAATATTTTCTTATATGCTCCCACTAAGATAATTTATTAAAAAAAATTAGTGTACACTCCTACTGAAATGAAAGACTAACTCTGCATTGAGGACAACTTAGCTACTTTAGCAAAAAAAAAAACAGGACACCCTTAGCCATAAAAGTACTGTATTTACATCATGCGTGAAGGATTTCGAATGATTTTTCTCTGGTAAGATCAAGGAATAATTGGACAAATCAAAATTGGTACATGGATTGCGAAGGGCTTGTTCATTTCACCGATTCGAGTTTTTAGTTCTAAGTTTCTATAGTTAAAAACTCTCAAAAAATATCACATCTAACTTTTTTTGCTATAATTAAAAGCTATCAGAAAATATCACATCTCAACTTAAATTAAAAATTCGAATCTGTAAAGTAAATGAGGCTGAAGTGAATCATGAATGGAAAGAAAAAGAGAGAAATCACTGTTTTTCTGTCAGATTTTTTACAAGTACGATTTGTCAACCCAATTATAGTTGACGAGAAGGGCAAAAATAATTTATTTATATATTTTAAGATTCTAAATATGGGGTTCCATATATACAAAAAGGGTCATGCATGACCAAAGTTGGAAAAGACTAGTGCTGAAATTTTGGACGGGCCGTCTGCGATCACTGAAAAGTCTGAATTTTTACCCGATTACCGAGCCCGAACTGCCCGAATTTTTAGGCTGCACGACCTGACCTGAAAATCTCTTTGGACGGGCTTTGGGCAGCCTTTGGCTGCTCGTGCCCGGTCGGGATGCCTGATGCCCGACCAAGAAAGCCCGAATTTTTAAATATTTTTTACATAATATTTTTATGTTATATATATATATATATATATTACAATTTGAAATTTGAAATGAACACACGAATTATATAAACAAAATTAGTTCTTTATTGATTTTTAAATTTGTAATTCATGATTGCCTCGTTACCAAGAAAAACCCAATTGGGATAAAAACTTGGTAAGGAAAAAAGAGTGCAATCATTGTGGGACGAATTACAAATTTGACGAACTTACAAAATCTATACAAGATTACAATAACACTATACAAAGTAAATAAATATTTACAAATTACAATAATAAAATTTAATTTGAAGCAGAATGATCGTCTTGAAAATTAAAAGTTAGTCTATTAAATTCGTCGATCCATTCTTGGCTTACCGGTGAGATTGTATCGTGTAAGCATTGGTTGGAACGATCCCAATCATTGATGCACACCAAAGCTTCAACAATATCCTGTTGTAATGCGTTTCTCCGTTCTTCAAGTATTCGGCCGGTTGTACTGAATGCTTGTTCGGCTGCAACAGTGGAGACTGGGATTGAAAAAATATCCATTGCCAGTCGTGTTAGGATCGGCCAAGTTAATGCTTGTGCCCTCCACCACTGAACCAAATCAAACATTTCACTATTGT